GCAACTCATGCAAGGTATCTTCTTTCTTTAAGGCAAGTACAAAGTATATACTTATAAGTTACTTGATATCTACTGAATTTGTTACTAAGTATAATTTTTCGAGTACATAGATGAGTGTTAAATTTAAAAAACTATACTTGAAAATTTTTAAATTGGGTATTAAATATAACTCATAACTTACTATACCCAAAAATTTTCACCTCTAATTTAATGTGCCTTCAGTTTAGTAACCCAAACTCAACTCCATTTATAAGCAATTTTTTTTCAGCCATTTTTTTATGGGGCTTGGCATGGGCATGGGGGGCTTTCTAATGAAGTACTTCTCAGTTTTGACAATTAATTCGACTCTAATTTGTTGGAAATGGTACCGTAATAATATGAATTCTATTTATCTGTCTATACTCCTGTTACACCATAAAAGAAGAAGCTAACAAAGTAATAGTTGAACTTCTTTCTTTCATTTCAATTAATAACGGACACACAGACTGCAAACCTTTGGTGAATGCCCACATTAAATAAACATGTAAAGAATCACAACATATTATTTGTTAGCAACACAAAATAAAGAATTAAACTTTTCTCATTTTCCCCTTCTGCCATAATTGATGTGCCATACAATTTATATATTTTGGATTTTAGCTTGGATGTATTCTACATTTTTTTTTCTTCTTTTCTGTTTTCAATTAAATATCTTTTCTTTTATTTGTTTGTTTAAATCTTCATTTGATAATGGCAAGTTCAATATTATCTTCATGACCAAAATCTTTCATTTTTGTTTATTTGCCATAGTATTTTATTTTAAACAAATATTTGACTGCCTTAAATTGTTGGATCAAAAACTCAGTGCTTTCCTGAAATTGAATATTTTCATTTGGATTATGGTAAATTTATTTTTTATTTTTTTATTAAATTAAAAATATCCTAAAATTAAAGCATGTGGTAATCATATTTATATAGAGACTGTGAGGTGCTTAATTCCTTTTCCATGTTTAATCGATCCTCTAATCTTTCCTCATTTGAATAGATGGCAACTCCATCTATTTTGGCACATCTACATACTGTAAAATACTGTAAAATATACATAACTTTTTTTCATAAATGCTAGTAATATAATCACTTTTCTATAAACATGTTAACAAGAAGTTTTATGGATTATAGGATTTTTGATGAGCAAATGTGGATTTTGAAAGCTTTTGAATTGCTCTCCCTTGTTGGATGTTGTACAAGTCCCACATTGGTTTAATTATTTATGTTTGTCATTATGTTGTTAGGGAACTTAATTTGTTTATGTTTGTAGAAATTTATTTGAAGTTTTGTGTTTGTACTTTGGAGAATTTAGTTGATGATTATGGTTGAAGAGTGAAATTTATATTTTAGCGCAAAGACTTGGAGGGGGATGGGGACGGGGGGGCAAACCTGGCCAGCAGTAATTGCCAAATGAAGAGCAGTGGAACCATTTTCTAATGCTCTTGCAGAATATGGAGATGTTTCAAAGAGTTTCTTTACATCATCAGAATCCCCTCTTTTCATGTCCCTGAGCAATGTCACGGCTTGTTTCCTTTCAAGAATCTCGATGCCTGCCAAGGATTGTCATATTCTTTTTTGATCAGGCATTAAAATAAACGGTGGCAAAGAATACATGTTTTAGACATGATGGAGATGGAAATTAAACCTATATCTTTGTTCCCTTCTTCGTTTGGTTGTTTTTGCAAGTCAGCCAATGCATTTCAACTTTCAAGCCTCGTTGGCCGAATTCATCCCCTTGATCTGATCATGACTTTTCTGCTTCACATGAAATCTTAGTTGCATGCAGAGCTAAAGCATTCTTTTTAATCCACCCCCTTGGGTTTTCTTTATGAGACATCTCAGTTGATAGAACCATATCCCAAAGGTCTTGAGTCACTAAATAGTGTAGCATGAAAATGTGCCGCCTCCCATAATTCTCTTCTTTAAGGAACTCAGGTACAATCATGCGTGGAACGACTCTCCCATTTGTACAAAATTCTTAACCATATTTCTTCTTCTTATTATTATTTTGCCACGAAAAATGAAAACAACAAGAGATTTAACAGGACAGGAGCAAGAGCATGTTAAGAAACCAGCTTAATTTATGCACTTAATGATACGTACATGGATAGTGAGGCATGTAAAACAGAACTAATTAAGTAAATAACCATACTTACATCTGATGGAACTGGCTGAAGGAGATTAGCCTTCTTCATGCTTCCCAATTAAATTAAGCTGCTGCGAACAGAAAAACCGATCTAACAACGAGGGCAAGAGCTGTGCTTGATTTGTGCTATATTTATATAATGGAAACCTTCTCCAACATATACACCATATATACAACACATACATAGAAATGGAAATGCAATACTGACTTTGACTTCTCATATCCCAGATCTCAATGATAAAGCTGAGTATAAAGAAAGACTTAATTGGCATTGACTTTTAGGTTCTTGCCTTCCATTGATGGATCTAAAAGTTTGATTTTGTTCCCCCAATTGTTATAAGATACCAAACACAGAAAATAAGTTGCTGTAGTAACATGTAGATATTCATGAACTCCAGAATATAAAATCTCTACTTGGAATTTAAATATGCAGCCTCATCCATCCTGTTATTTGTTTTATTTTTATTTGTAACCTGCAAATGAGCTATATCTATATATATCATGCATCAGGTTTCATCCCAGATGATATGTAACACATGATGAAAATATGCAATGCAGTAACTTTTAATGCACGTCAGTGTCATTCATATTCTTAAATTAATTATATATGTAACACAAGTTTGAATTTTTGGATTTTTTTCTGATTTAATCAAGAAATATCCTCCCTTATGCCTAGTAGTGTTGCCTCAATATGGGCTTAGAAGTTTTATGTAGAGACTTATATATCATTTTGATATAGTTGATTTATTCTTTGTATATGATATTGGTAACAGCTTGTATTATAAAGAGCTGTTTTGTCTATAGTGGAAGTTTTGGTAATAAAATTTACATTTTACCAAAAAAATAATAATAATAATGTTGATCATGCATGGCTAGTCATTTTCATTAATTTTTCTTTTAATCAAATCAAGCTTGGATTTTCTTTCCCTATGAGTTGTTGAAGAAATTACTATCGACGACGCATATGGAAATGCATATGCATCCCATATCTCCATAGTCGAGCATCATATATATTTTAAAAAATATTATTAATACATTTTTTAATTTAATATTTATTTGATTCAATTATTAAAATATATATAATATAAATGACAATAATTTTTGGATGTCAACAACTCCACCACAACTAGCAAAAAATATATTTGGATCGGCGTGGAGGAAACAGGAGGTTGATGAATAGTTTAAATAACGAGTCAAAGAATAACAAGCAGATCCAAAAGATGGATCCGCATGTTTTTACTAAAAATGACTTTCACAATGAAAATTTTGAAAGATATTCGGCAAGTTTTCTTCATGTAATTTTTTCATTGACTTCACTAGTTTTGTTTTAACTTATTCTCTATTGACTTTCCAAACATAAAAGAATATGTGATTCCATTGACTTTACTAGTTTTCGTTTAACTTATTTTCTATTGACTTTCAAAACATGAAAAAATGTAAAAATTAATTTTAAAAAGTCATTTTTTGCGAACAAAATGTATCTTCAAGACTTGTAACAGGTTCTTAATTGTTTTTAAAATTGTTTTATTGAAGTAGACCTGGTAGAGGTTCTTTCTCAGAGTCTTTGCGAAGCTTTTATCCTTGTGACTACAGGTTGGGAACCTCATGCAATGCCAATTTCTTCCAACCTTCAAGACCTGCCCCAATTGTCCGTGATAGATCCATCAAAGATGTCGGTCTTCACTTAATGGACCCTTTGCCTATGGTTTTGTTTTACTTTTTGTTTGCCTTTGATCGCGGCCCATATTATCTGAATTTTATGTCTTTTATCACATTCCCTTCTATGGTCTTAGTGGGCCTGAGCAACCATTGTAACTTTTTTAGAGCCAACTACTTATTATACGTTGTGACATTCGCTTTCTAATATGGGCTTAGCGTTCTGGGCTCATGTACCTAGATGTCAATCTAGGTATGGGCTGACTGGTGTGGGCTAGAGTAACCTGAGGTAAGTCTTAGTCTGGATTTAACTGGCCCACCCCATTGTTTCCCTTCCCCGCGACCGTGGCCCATATTTGTTGTCCTTCATGTTCCTTTTTATTGTGATATACTCATGGTGGGGTTTTGTTTGTTTATGCAAATTATTTAATTTTGTTAATAAATTTATCTATTTTAGTTATTATTTTTTTTAAACCCCTTAGTTATTAATTTTTTTAATTGGTTAAAAATCTTTCTTACATAAAATTAACTGATTATTATATTTTAAAATTCTATATTAATTTATCATAAAAATATTATTAACTTAATTAAAAAAATTTGTTAATCAAAAGGAATAATTAAAATTTTGGTTTACCTTAATTTAAAAATAATAAATCTTTTCTATCCAATAATAATAATAATAATAATAATAATAATAATAATAAAATTTTATCCACCATTCATCATTTACCATCCATTAATTATTATTACAATTTGATATATTTTACATGTTGTACCAAACATTCTCTTAATTGTATTTATCTATAATATCGTATAATAAAAAAACTAGAAGAAATCTAAAATAGTAAATATATCAAGATTTTAAAGATCAAAATGATAAAAATAAAATTTGGGGGAAAAGAACTTTTCCACCCTTGATTTTACAAATAAAATACAAATCCAAACTTCACATAAACTTTAATAGAATATAAGATGATGAAATACTCACAATTAGAAATCAATAAATTCAAAATATCCTTTTAAAATATATTTAAATTATTATTTTTTAAATAATAAAAATCAAATACAATCAATAAATATGTTAAAAACAAATTTATATTTCCGTCATGTATGTTTTTGACACATCAAAATCAAACTGAACAAGAGTTAAAATTTTCAAACCTCACTGACATAACAATTAATAGTTATATTAAATTACTGATACATCGTCTGTGAATTTAAATTAAAATTCAATGTCGAAGCAGACTTTAACATTAATAATATTACAGTAAACATAGAGCACATCCAAATCCAGAGAAGAGAAAAAATGCACACGAGACCACGCAACGCGCGGAATTCAGGTTTTAGTACACGGGAAGAAGTGATGATATTTAACCACGCATATATTGAAACAGGATGGTGGACTTGTTCAAAGATGCAATCTGAAAACAGGTCGAAACCTTATTTTCTGTTACAAAAAAATATGGAGAAATACAATAGCAAGAAGAGGGTGAAGGTGTTTTAGAAAAATGTAGACATATGGACAGCCAAGGATAACTGTAGGAAAAATGCAGTCCCGCAAAATAGAGTAGTGAGGAGACAAAAGTCCAACAGAAGCAATAGAGATAAATAGCATGCTTCCAATGGACCAGAATAGGAAATAGAAGCTCAAGGCCAACCTGGCAGTAAAGGTCCACAAGGGTCCAGTTAGGAAATCTTCCTTGGTAAGACACGACTCATGGATATGCAAAAAACACAAGACTGAAAGAGATGCAAGATAGAAAGAAACTAGATCCATACTTATGAATAGCTTAAAAGATGCTCTTTTAGAGAAGATAGGGAAGCCATCCTGGTCATTATTACCACCAGGAACAGTAATACCTGCTGCAAACATAATGCCAATGATGAGAGTGCCTATAATTGCAGCAAAATTTACTGTTTCTTTCACCGATATTTGAGCTTCTTTAAGTAAACCTTCATGTTCCCTACTAAACACTTCTAAAGGAGTTTCGTCATTTTTATTTCTTTGTTCTTAATAAAATATTAGAACAATGCGTTCAACTCCCTGAAATAATTAATTTGTTAAATGAGAAACTATAGTTAAAATGGACTAATTTTAAGAATGAATTCTCAACTATATAAAAATAAGTACTTGTACTCTCAAAAATTAAATTAAATTAAAAGCAATTATTTAAAAATTATATCAATTTAACAATTTCTCATTTTAAAAGATTAAAATAATTTATTTTTATGGACCATAATTGGTGCACACCCGGGTGTGCACCCCCCACATAAAAAAAAAAGTTGGACCGAGTGATAGGTATTTTTTTTTGTTTATATGGGGGGACTCGGGTGTACACCCAGCATTTTCTTTATTTTTAATATTTAAATTAAACTGTATTTTATTTTTTTTTAATAATATTTTATTAAAATAATGTAATTTTATAGTAATTTTTCTCCAAATATATTGAGATCATAAAAGTTTTTTCAAGGATTACCTTAAACCACCTTGCTTCGCTTTGCATTTGAAGAACTGGATTATGGGGAGAGCTGGGAGCTGCCAACTTTGCAGCCAGATGTAACAGATTGTTTTGGTCGTTATCTATGGTAAACCCCGTTATGATCCTCGCTGGATCGAGTCTATAAAGAAACTTGGCAATTTCCTTTTGACGATGTTCTACAGCATACGTTAACATGTCTCTTGAGTGTTTGGGATCAGTATGGCTCCAAACTATATCAGGATTAGCTTCTGAAATTTGTTTTACAAAGCCAAGGTAGCCAAGCTCGATAGTCTTGAAGGTAGCTTCCACTGCTCCACTGCTAATAAGTTGCTCTCTTTCTAAAGTTGACAGTTGATCACATATGAAACTTACCATCTTACGGGCTTTGGCTCGGTCATACTTTAGATCATATGGTAACCATTGACCTAGTTAAGAGCAAAAATTGTGTACAGCAAGGAAATTCAAAAGTTAGTGGTTAACCATCAACTTTTATAGCAAAATAACAAAAATATATCAATTGAAAACTGTAATAATTAAAGAAAAAGAGGAGAAGTGTCCTCACAAAATCTATATATAAGCCCTTCCCCAAATAAAACAAGCTTGTTCCCAGCAAACAATGATGATAGAGTTTCGACCAACACTGAAATAACAGGGGTAGGTTCCAAAGAGCTTTTGTGAAATGTCAAATCTGGAAATTTGCACAGAAGATCGAGTCCAATATCTGATTCAAAAAATACCAGTTTGTTTGAGAAATTAAGGTAAAATAAAAGCATGCATGCATATATAGCAAAGAGAAATAGACAAAAAGTTAAAATTTACAGCTCTTACCAAACATATGGTTCCTTAGACACTCTTTGAGGAGGAGGAACCCATGGTCTCCTTTTTCTGGACCTAGAATTTTCCTAGGTGTCTCCGAATAAAGATAAAGAGTCAAAGACTTATGGTGTGTGGCACAGGCCAATACAAGTGGGATCTTCTTCTCACAATCTGGTATTTCAAGCAATCTTTTGTTCTTTTCAACCAAACATTCTACGATCTTTCTACTTCCCTTACAAGCAGCCGAGGAGAGAGCTGTCTGGCCGCGCTTATTTCGTATTTCCAACTCTTCGTCTGACATCACCGAAATCAGTTTCTTAGCCAACTCTACCTGGCCAGCAGCAATTGCAACATGAAGAAGAGTGGAACGGTCTTCTAATGCTGCAGAACGGTCTTCCAATACTACAGAATACAGAGGATGTGTTTCAAAGAGTTCTTTTACAGCATCAGAATCCCCCTTTTTTATGTCCTTGAGCAAAGTTACGGCTTGTTTCCTTTCAAAAGTCTTGAATCCTGCCAAGCATTGTAAGATTACCTTCTGAGGCAATATTATTAAAATTAAGAAAAAGAGAGAGATGGAAAATAAACCTGTATCTTCGCCCTCGTTATCTTTTGGTTGTTTATGCGAGTCAGCCAATGCTTTCCAAGCATCTTTTGCTGAATTCATCTCCTTAATCCCATCAAACATTTCTTCTCCACATGAAATCTTAATAGCATGCAGAGCTAGAGCATTTCTTTGATCCCACTTCTTTGGGTCTTCCCCATGAGCACGACGCATCTTGCTTAATACAACCACATCCCAAAGGTCTTGAACCACTAAATAGTGTTTCATGAAAATGCACCACCTTTGATAATTATCTTCTTTAAGGACCTCAGGCACAATCATGCATGAAACTACTCCTGCATTACTCTGTACAAAATGCTTAACCATGCATAAAAGTTTTTTTTTTTCTTTTTGCCAAAAAAAGAAAATAACAAAAGATTTAACAGGAGAAGTAGCAGGTGATCATATATCATTTTTGGCAACCATATTAATGTAGAACTATTAACCATATTCTATGCACTTAAGAGCATTCATGGAAACAAAAGTACATGTAAGAACAAACTAACATAATTACAGATGGAACTAGTTTAACCTGATTAGCCTTCATGCTTTTGTAGTAAGTTGTTACCGATGAACAAACTGATTTAAAAGGAATGAATTGTAGGTTGTTAAGGGCAAGACCTCGGCTTATATATATCTACATTAGTCTTAGTAATCAAGATAACTAAAAAGAAAAAAGAAAAAAAAAAAAAGAAGAAGAAAGAAGAAACCTTAGGAATCAAGATAAAAAATAATACTTAAGAATCACGAAAAAAAAATTAAAAAAAGAAACAGAATAAGCATCAAGTGGTAATTTAAATAAGGGACTTTCTAACATTATTGAAAATGGTTATTCTATAATTAATTTTTTATAAATTTTCATATAATATTCAAATAAAATATAATATAAAATGTAAAAATATAATATAATATTTATACTCAAAATATGTAAAAAATTATAAATCTAATATAAAAATTTATGTAAAATTAATTAAAAATACCTTAAATAATAATTCTTAACTTATGCGTAAGGGTACAAGTTAGACAGTTAAAAGGAAAAGATTCCAAATAAGTTTAGAAAAGCAAAAGTAGTGCTATAGAGAAAAGATGAATGATTTGTTAGAGCATTTTATTGGGAAGAAGGCGGTACTACTTCAGCACAATAGAAACAAAATAACACCAAAAATTTCTCCAATCCATGAAACTGTTAAGAACAAGTTAAATTGAGCTCAAATAAAATATATGACAGCAGCCAAAAGAGCAAAATATATTTTTTCAACTTTGCTTCCTTTAATTTAAAAAGCACAATCTTCTTAGCAAAACACTCTATTCCCTGCAAAGTAATGAACAACATTTTCCAATTGTACTTCCATTAGTCCAAAAAGTACATTCTTCTTAACCAAACAATATATCTATTCCCTTCACACTCATGTGACTAAGCCTCCTGTGCCATACCATTGATCCATCTTTCCTAACTTCATTCAAAGAGCCACCAAAATAGAACTTTACATCAAATACAAGTTAGAAAATTTGGGTCATTTCTCTACATAGGAGAGATAGGCCTAACTCAACATATCTCCAATTGGTAGGCTCTTAAAGAGTTTCTCCAAATGCCATTATTTCTTAATTTCTAATCTCCACTCCAATGTTGAGATCCAAAAAATACTCCTCAAATGTTGTTGCATAAATATTATTTTTGTAATTTTGTTTTTAACTTAATGTATTAATTAGTTGATGATCAGTCCCGTTTTATGTAAGGTTAAAATGGACCATTTCATTTTCCACATCATCCATACAATTTAAAATATAAATAATTTAATTTAAAAAATTGACATCTCATCCTTTTGAACTTCCAATGTCAACCATTAAAATTAAAGAAGATGAATTATTTGATGGAAAAGATGTCCATGCTAGCATTTAATTGGCGAAAGAATGAAATTTGTATGGAGAAATTATATTCAAGGACTATTTTAGTATTTTTTAAAGTTTAAGAATATTTTTATACAAATCTTAAAATTTAGGGACTAAATTAATACTTTTACCTCAACAAATGCGACTTCCCAGACATCTAGGTTGTAGAAAGGTTAGTATCAAGTAATAAAAGTGTTGGTTTTGTACGAGAGTTTGCTACTTCACAGTTGCGACAATAAAACAAAAACTTTTAAATAAAAAAACAACACATCAATATTAAAGATTTTAACCTTCATCCCACAATCCCTATTACACAATTGCGATTGCACAATATATATATATATATTGTTATAGGGTCTGAATAGGGAGTCTAACAGTGCATATTTGGTTTGGGCCTGAAGAGCTTCGAGGCCCACCAATTTGTGTAGCCACGTGGTGGATTGGAACCATTAATGTAATAGGCTGAAAGAGGTGGGTTAATCCACCAAACCAGTTCTTTTTCATTTAAAGGCAGACACACCCATATTTCAATTTGCTGGGCTTAGCCTAACGAATTGGCTTGGGAGAATTGGGATGGCATACATATTTAACGGGCCTTCGGTTTTGTAACCCAAACTCAACCCCATTTACAAGCATATTTTACTTTTCAGCCATCCTTTTATTTCGGTGGGCATGGGCATGGGAGGATTTGCACTGAGGGACTTCTGAGTTTTGACAATTAATTCGACTCTAATTTTTCGGTAATGGTACTATATTCATATGAATTTTATCTGCCAGCATACTGTAAAAACTCAAATTCAAAACAAAATTATTAAAAATATAATTCCTAAAATTAATGAACTTAACCAATGTAAAATCAAATAAAAAAATTTTAAAAAAATTAAAGGAAGCTCGTCACTATAATAAAAACCAAAAACTTAAAAAAATAAATATATTTTAGCAAACAGGAAGCAGTTGTTGGCATTGGCCGCAATTTCATCTCTGCCATGCTGTCGTCCCACTTTTCAATTTATTTTTCCTTTTTTTATTATTTTTATTTTCGAAAACAAAAAGCATGACTAATGTCAAATATATATAAGTAAACGGTTATTAAATCATATATATGAAATAGGATCTCATTACACACAATACTTGGATATAAGTTTTATAATAATATTATAATAATAATATCACATAAATTATAATATAAAAAATTATAATTTTATAATTTTATATCATATTCTTCATACAAAAAAATTTTATATAATGTTTGTGAGACATTACAATTTTATATATAGATATATATATAAATAAATACAAGTAATTTGACACCAACAAACACTTTTTAAGGAAGATGCTTCAAATCCCGTCCTTTTGACTATATATCTTATATACATTGCAGGATTATTGAGCTAAACTTCAATCTATAAAAATCAGAAATGTTGAGACACTGCCCCCATGTCCCAAACAATGTGGCAAACAAAATGGAAATGGAAAATACAAGTAGGTAAATTACAATATCTGGCAGTACCGAAGACTTCCTTTGTAACATAATAGTAAGAGCAAAATTGTAGGCCAGGACCATTGTTGCAAGTGAAATGATGAGTGCAGAAATAACTAATATCATTTGCCAGGGCAGAACTCGACAAAAATTATTTTCACCATGGGATAGTTTGAGCATATTCAGGAATCCCAACAAGGAAATTGATGCAGTAAAGAGTGACACTGCATCACATATTATAAACCAGGAAAGCAGTTTTCTGTGCAACAATTTGGAGATGTCGGTGTGTTGATTTTTACTTCCAAGATCTTTAAAAAGTACTGTAAACATAACGGTAACGATTAAAGCAGCTGCAAGGATATAAGACCATGCAGTTTCTTTGGTCCATTCATTTGCTTCTTAGTCATTTTGTGGTGCTCTCTGAGAAAAACCTGGTCTGGAGTTTTACTATAAAGATTTTTGGCTCCTTGAGACCAGCGTGGAAGAACACTCTTAACCGCCTGCCATTTCATAACAGTATTATGGAAAAATAAATTGTTTAATTATAGAGATAAAACAAATATGAAGTGAGAGTTAATTGACAACCTCGAACAACTTTATTTCGTATTGCTTAACCCAAGCTGGATAGAGATTATTAAGGCGACGGTTAGGTAACTTGGCTACCAGTGCAACACGTTGTTTTCATCTTTATCTCTTAAAGGGAGAAATGGTTTCTTCCCTGCATCAAGCCTGTAAACAAATTTTAAAATATCTCATCGACATCACTTGCTAGCTAGCAGAGATGAGTATATCTCTTGAAAGCTGTTCATTGCATACTTATGAGTTAATTTCAGATTATATTCCTTCAGTTAATAGCTGTGCGGTGCGTTCAAAAGCATGGGGAGCTAGAATAAAAACAAAATCAAAGAAAAAGGCCAGCTGAGTTGGTAGGGACGACAATAAAAAAAATCCTAAATCTGCTTTCTTTTTAATAAAATTTATTTAATAAAAATGCTGCGTTGGAAATTGCCTTCTTCTCCACCACGCCCATCGCCATCGGTTTCCAAGCATGGAAATGGAACTCCTCCCCAACATCATTACAGCAATATAAGTTATCTATTATTTTTAAAATGACAACATAATAATTATAATATCATATAAAATTAAAAAATTATAATTATAATATGTTAATAACACACTTTACCATATAATGTATTAAGATATTATAATTATATCATATTAGTAAAGTCAATCTAAATTACAAACTAGTACTAGAGCTTGATGACAGCAAATCGTCGGACAGCGAAACTTTTATTTTTTCGAAAAATAAAAAGAAGAAAAAAAGAGGAAAACATAATTGCTGTCTAAGTAAGCATTATATTCGGATGAGTTTGCGGAGGGAAGATCTTAGAGCCAAGTAAACTGTTTGCCATCCATTCTGTGAAAGGTGTACTGAGTCCCAGAAGAATGAAGCCTCTGGTTTCTTGCACACATTATATAGCTTTACCCCACTCTTATCCACACTCCCACACGAACCCACACAACATGGTTCCAATGGATTCATCTTCACCTTCAAACTCCCTGTATGTATCGATGTATGGACAGAATTAACAGAACAACCATTAATTAATTCATGTCCTAATAAACTATATATACATATATTGATTGCATTCAACAGAATGAATGAATGTATAGGAAATTAAGAAAGATGTCAATATACCTGTGTGCTTTCTGTGCTTCTTCATTGCAGAAAGGAATGCATCGTAGAGATTAAGCATCACGAACGCAGATTTGTTGGTTCTCTTTCTCTGCTCGTTCAACTTTTGTACTGTTTTTGCCAATATCTCGTTGTGAAACTTGGAGGTCAAGTTCCCAGCTTTGCTGCAATTTTTATATGAAGAAGAGGCAGTCGCCACAGGCAAGCATCCCATTGGCTCAATTGCAGTAATCGCGATTTTCCTCACTCCCAAGCTATGAATTCGTTCCAAGTTTGTAGCAAGCTGATCAATTAGTGATGTAGTAAAGGCAGGCAAATTCTGAAAAAAAAAAATGTTAATTAAGATTAACAGATACTAATAGTTTTGATTAGTTGCAATAGGAAATACAAATTGTATTAAAATAAATAAAATTGAGATTACATATGAATTCTTACATTATAACATGTATAGTCAAAGTAAATTCACATCTTATAGCATTAAATATAAACTTAAAACTATGTCTATATCAAAATATAGATAACATCTACATCTAGAGATTAGATATTAATAATTACAATTAAGATATAAATAAAACTACTAATATAGAAAGAAAGTTTTTGCAAACTAATAGTTTTGATTATTTGTGATATAATTAAGTTCATTAGACGACCTACCAGTGACAGCATATACCACAATGTCACATATACATATAGTCAGCTGACCAACTCACCTTATCGTCGTTATCATTCTTAACAACATAAGCAAAATAGTCATTCCCTGCTACTGACACCAGAGCGATGGAGGAATTTAGGTACTCTTCCTTGAAGACTTTTTTCTCAACCAATCGTTGAAAAATATCGATTTGGGATTGTCATGTTAGGCTCTTTCACCAATGTATCAAATACGCCCGTCCCTCCGTATGCAAAATTCATACCATACCGAAAATATGATTTTGATGCTATCTTCATAAACTTTTATGGTATGGGAGATCTGATATCAAGATATGAAGCTGCATTTTTTTATTCACAATTAATGAAATTATATATATTAAAAAAAAGAGAGAGAGAACTGTAAGGACAGGGCCGAGGTGCCAAACCTCGGACTGCTACAGTAATTTCTTTATGACCGAAGTGAGGAATGAATCCGAAGCTTCCCGCTCAAATAGCTGCATGATAATGACAATAAGTATGCCCGCACCTGATTCCTTATGATGAGCGGCACAACAGGAACGGTGGACACTCGTGCATCTGAATACCTCTCAAATTCCCGGTCTCGGAATAATCGTTTGATAGACACGTCAGGCTCTGACTATCTTGCTTGGCATGCCACGTGGGTTCCTCATCGAATCCTATAAATACCCCCTCCGGGCCACGTAAAAAGGTAATTGAAACCTACCCTAAGCTCCTTTTATCTCCACTCTAGAGGTAACCCCGATTATTGCTGACTTAAGCATCGGAGTGTCTACCCCGAGGTCCACCTCGGGGCTTTGCAGGTCATTCCGAAGTGCAGTTGCGGATTGTAGAAGGACTTCTGGTTCGTTGCAATTACATTGGCACCGTCTGTGGGAAACGAATTAAAAGTTTTCTAGTTGCTCTTCCATCATGGTCCACACTCGATCAGTCAGAGGTGGTAATTCATCTCTGCCTCATGGGCAGGGTCAACCCCCCAACAACCTTCCACCTCTGATCCCAACTCAGCTTCCACCTCAGCTTCCACCTCAGCTTCCACCTCAGGTCCCAGTTATTTTCCCTCCTGTTGATCATGCAGAAGGAGGAGATGAAAATCAACCTCATGCCTCAGCTCATAATTCAACTTCCACTGCCAATCAAGACGTAGTGACAGCTCAGCTTGCTGCCATGCAGCAGCAGTTTGGTGTTTTTCAGTTGGTACTGGCTTAGCTTTTGGCTAGAAATAATCCTGGTGATCCCTTCATTAATTTACTAAACCCTACCCAACAACCCCCAGCTCCACAACAGAATCCTCAACCGGTTCAACCTGCTCCTGCTATTAGCAAGTCTCAGGCTCAATCCCACATTGCACCCGCTCAACAACCTATCCCTGATGATGTTACTCGCCGCCTCGATAGCCTGGAAAA